GAATGAGTAACAATATCAACGCCAACAATCTCAACACAGACTCGTCCTCCTCCCCCGTCAATGTGCCCAAGATGGATGCGCTCATCATCCCGGTGACCATGGAGGTGCCCTGCGATAGCCGCGGACAGCGCATGTGGTGGGCTTTCCTCGCCTCATCCATGGTCACTTTCTTTGGGGGACTGTTTATCATCCTGCTGTGGAGGACCCTCAAGTACCTGTGGACTGTCTGCTGCCACTGCGGGGTCAAAAACAAGGTAACTCCCCCTCCCCTTCCCCTCCTGGTGCCGGTGATGGTTTGGTGCGGTGGTGGTGAGGAGGAGTGGTAGGAGCGGACACCTGGGCGAGGTGGCACTGGAGGAGATGCCTAGGGCTGTTGCTGGATGGCAGCGTGCTGTCTGCTCTTGCGGTAGGGTCGCCACGGGCTGGCGGGAGCCGCAACGTGGGGAGGGTGGCCGGAGGGGCGAGGTGTTGGGTGCAGCCCTGAGACGTGCCCCCCTGTCCCCCCTCTCTCCCTCCCGCCCCGCGCTTTCATCCGGTGGCACGAAAGTTACACCCGGTGTCGGCTCGCCCCCTCGGCCAGGCACACGCTGGCACGGTGGGACGGTGTGGTTCGGAAGTTGATACGCGCCCCCGGGACCGCATACGATGGCAGGGTGGGAGTGTTTATTTGCTGATCTAAACTCTCAATTCTCTTGCGGAATGAGGAACTTTGGCAAAATTTATAAAGGTAAACTTCTCACTCAAGTAAATCTTTTTAAAGCTAGTTCCACTCCCCGAGAATCTTTGACGCTTCTGTTTGATAAATTAAATGTAGATGTCTGGAAGTATTTAGTGCATTTGTGAGTGACACACTAGGTCTCAATATCCTTTTAACCTAAGCGCGAAATCTTTGCGGCAACCTCTCTGCCCCTTTGATTTTTGCATATTACCAGCTGGAAGAAAGCGTAGTACATGAAGTAAGGTCCGCTCCTGGTTTGAAGGGTCTCTTTCAAACCAAAGCTGAGAACTTGCTCAGGTCCAGACTTTCATTTTTGCTTAAGACAAATGGGATAGAAAGTGTTAAGACTGTATTTGTGAAAGTGGATTTTGACAGACCCCAAAATAGATCAGCAGCTGGAGTTTCTCCCCTTCCCTTTTCACATTTTTTGGATTACAAATGGAATAATATCTGCTTCAGTTATTCCTGGCACACAGACACCCACAAAAACACACACACCTTTTAATATATGGTTGCTAGGTTGCTGGCTTGCTTTGACATACAGTGAGCTGTCTTCCCCTTTCTCCTGTCCCCTCCCCCCTAAACACACTTGATACAGCGCGTAACCCGGCTGTACGAAGGATCTAACACTTCGGGAAACCAGAAACAAAGTTAGAGTGTGAGAAGTTACGCTACTTGTTTGTTTGTGTATTTGGGTTCAGGGAGGTAGGCGTCCAGTTCGGATTGCCTAAACGAACCTCCGCATTCCAGTTGGAAGTAGCACAGTTACAGTGAACTTGGCCTATCTGTGGAAGAAGGGATTGCTAGAGATAAGGAATAAATAAAAGCTTTTAGCTCAACCTTAAGCTTCGTGAAACCTACCAGGCAGTGTCACTTCTCTATAGGCATTTGTCATTGCGCTCAAAACCAAACCTGAACTTTCTCAGAGAGGTGTTAGCCAGGTATGATGACAAAGCTCAAATGACTTTGTGATAATAAGCGTGTCTTGTAAAATACCATTTTCTACAACAGTAAAAGGCGATTTTCAAGAATGGGTGGGTGGTTAAGACTTAGCTTCAGTTTCTTCTGTGTGTATATAGCATTTTCCTCTCCACATGATGAGACAAATCTGCAAGGGCTGTCGGGGATCTTGACGAAAAAGAAAATCCTCCAGGTTATCACCTCGTGCTTCTTTCCTTGAGAGAATGAAAAATTAGAGACTTGTACACAGTCTTGTTACACATAATATCTGCGTGGGTGTTGTTGGTCTGATAGTCCGTTGTTGGGACACAGTCAGTTAAAGCAGATCATTCATTTCTTAACCAGTACAGAAAGGCATATCCAAATTGTCTTTAAAACCTCTTAGGCTAAGTGTATCAGCTCGCTAAATAACAGGTATCATCGAGGGGTTCCAACGCTTCCAGTCTGAATGATTTGACATACTGTGGCTATGTCAGGTTGTAAGATTGGAGTTTGTTTCATGTTTGAGACCTGAAGTAGCTATGTCCATGAATATCATTCCCTGGGGCAGGAGGATGAAGGACTCCGCAGGTAGGGGGAGATATACGTCTCTTTTTAGATTGTATTTGTTCCACTTACAAGGGTTTTCAAGCCTCTGGTGAAGAAGAACTTTCAGGGGCTGATCCTGCATTCCTTACATGCTAAAACGGGGAATTGGAGGGAATTCTGTGTGTGTAAGGAGTAACTAGTTATTGCAAAACACTTTGCTAGTATTTAGTATTTATGGTATAAAGGCTAACTGAAGTAACAACTGGAAATGTCTTAAACTTTGCTGTTATCAAACACATGCTTTGTGCTGCATGGTAACTTGGGAAAGGCTGCCGAGGCTGCTGGTGAAAAATGCGAATGCATATATATGCTATGTCGACCGTATCGGACCTGCTAGCAAAAGCAATTTTACAAGAAGTAGCTCCTCCTACTGCGGGGCTGAAGAAGTTTTTTGCATGTTAGGACTTTTCCTTCCCTGCGCTGCCTCTTCTGCTGCTCCGCAGGTTGCAGCAGAGGTGGGTTATCCAACATCGCCTCACCATCTACATAAAGAGCGGTCCCAGCTAGTGAGCTGAAAGAAACCTTTTTCAAGTCTACTTTCTGTGGCTTATTATTGAATTCACATATATATGTGAATAATTCACAGAGTTACTGTGCTAACACCCGTGTCCATCCATGTTATTGCAAGGAACTGCAAAAAGTTTCTTTTTTTTTTTTCCTGCTATATTCTAAGCACAACATTGTATTCCTCAGATTTGTCAACTTGATTTTGGGATGTAACGCTTTTTAATGGCTGCATAGAAGGATTTAGAATGTATTTGGGTTTTGAATGCATTTGGTTTTTTTTTTTCCCCTCCTCAACTCATTGAATTTAAGGTTGGAATTTAAAAACGTGATAAAACAGTTTAACACTTTGTGGTATGAAATTTCACTACAGGTTTTTTTTCTTTCTTGGAGATAAAGTCAAGATACTGTAAGTCAAGAATACGAAAACTTCTGGTAACAGAATGATAAACGTTGCCTCTTAAAATTCCATATCCAATTTATGTCATCGTATATGAATAGAACACCAATATTAATCATGTAGTAAAAATGATTGCTGAAGTTCTAGGATTTTGATGCTCCATACTTGCTTTGTGAGATGACATTCTTTAAAATCTGTCAAAAAGAAAAATGTAAACCTTGACCTATGTTTTCAGTGTTTCATGTAATGTGAGAGTCATTACAATTGAAGCCCTTGTATTCCTTTATTTAATATGGTATATCATTTTAGATGTAATTCTTCCAAAAGTAGCTGCAGTCGTATTGCAGAGACTTAACAAATGCTGTTTTTCTCCTCAGTGTTTACATCTACGTTTTTAGGAATGCTTAGATATTGTTAAAGAACTCATCTTCTCTTTGCTTTTTCTTTGTCCCTTGACCAACTCATTCCTGTTTGAGTATGAACAGTAGGATGTGAGATTGAAATTCAGTGCCCTGGACTCTGACACCATTAGTTGCTCTTGTTTCTGGAAATAATAGAAAAATAAAATAAATATTCATGATGAAGTACGCAGTTACACATAGTGGCTAAATGCATATTATACAATCTGTAGTTCTTTTGGTTATATGGATCTGCTACTGCATTTTCTGTGCTCCTGAAGGGCATTATCTACTGACGTTATCTGATGCTACGCTTTGGCTTTGAACAAACTCTCAAACGAGAAGAAGGTGCAGTGGAATGAGAAAGTACAAGTTTGGGGCACAGCCGGCTCCTGAAGCTGGCCAGTGCAGAATGAAGTGAAATTTGTACCCTTTCGAGGAGTGTGATACGGGACCCTATGTCACTGCTCCTTGGTTCCCCAAAGAGCGGTACCCCTTATCTACCTTACGCCTTCAAGGCTCTAGCAGGCAGAATGTATCTTAGAATCATAGAGTCATAGAATAATTTGGGTTGGAAGGGACCTCTAAAGGTCATCTAGTCCAACCCCCCTGCCGTGGGCAGGGACATCTTCAACTAGATCAGGTTGCTCAGAGCCCCGTCCAACCTGACCTGGAATGTTTCTTTACCGCTATGGTCCTGTTGGAATGATTTCAGTGTTTTGAAGAGCTTTCCCCCTGCCCCAGCCTAGGACTCACATACATGTAAAATGAAATTACATTATGATTATAGATGGCGGTTGCTGTCCTGAAGTCACAACCCATAATAATCTTCGTTCATATTGGTCTACATATTTTGGAAGTTTAATTAAATATGCAGTGCTAGATTTGGTCAGTAGAAACCCATCAACATTCCCATTTGTTTTGAATAGAAAAATTGACATTTTATTGGAAGTACCGTATTTGCAGAAGTCTTCTTTGAGAAGTTAAGAATTTTCACCCAGACCTCTAAGGCCTGAGAAAATTGGTAACTGGAAAAATTTCAGTTGTCCCTAAAAGAAGCAGCATTTCTACCAAACCGGCTCTCGTATAGCTAGGTTTGTCGCTTTGCTAGCAATGCCTGCATAAACCTCCTCTCCAAATAAAATTACAGAAACAAACTCAAAACGGGGCACTCTTTAGTGAGAAAAGTATGATAGTATAGTAGAAGGCACGCGTGGACACGTAACGCAGGAGATCCCTTCATTTAAATCTGTATGGGGAAACCTCACCTTGACTCTCTCGAAGAGGTACCGAGCAGAAGCGTATGAACAACTGGAAGGCTCAAGGGATTAGCAGCGGACTGTAATGAATTTCGCTCGTTAGTCACATGCGTGGCCTGGCTCCAGGCACTGCATCGTTCCTGTCTCATGGCTATCAGGTGCTCTGCGTGTAATTACTCCGTGAGCGTCCCACCGGACAGGTTGCCAATGGAGAGATGGACATGGTGGAGAGGTCAAGGACTGAAAGAAATGGTGCTCGCAGCTCTTTGCAGATGGTGGTTCTGCAAGTGAAAAAGGCACCGATACGGAGAGGCGTGTGCTGCTGTTTTCCGCGCTGTGAAAAGGACGACGCTCTCGGCTCTCTGGAGCTCATAATGGATTTCAGATTTTATAAACTCATGCTAAAATTGGTTATGTACGCAGAAAA